AGACAGAGAAAGAGAGACAGAGAAAGAGAGACAGAGAAAGAGAGACAGAGAAAGAGAGACAGAGAGAGGGGGAAAGATAGACATAGAGAGAGACAGACACAGAGAAAGAGAGACAGAGACAGAGAAAGAGAGACAGAGTCAGAGAAAGAGAGACAGAGAAAGAGAGACATAATCAGAGAAAGAGAGTTAGAGAAAGAGAGAGAGAGGGGGGGAGGAAGAAGGTGAGACAGTAGAGGGTAATGTGTACCTGACGCCCAAAGACATCACCGGAGTGCGTCCGCTATTGGCGTTGCGTGCCAACGAGGGCTAACTCATCTGCCCCACCTCCCCCCTCTTCCCCTGTTCCCGTTCCCACTCACCCCTTCACCCGGCCGCTGCGCTGCTACGAGGTGGAGCTCACCCATCTAAATTCTAATGAGCGCCAATATTTATCACATAATGCCTTAATGAGCTCGATTTAATCTCACGAAATAAAACAGGAACCATTTGAGCAGAACACAGGGAGTATTTATGATGTTAGCACGGTGGCCCCGAAGATCGTATCGGACCCCTTGTTTCCAGGAACGCTCCAGAGGGTCCTCCTGCTGACACGCGGGGCCCCAGGACCTCCTCCCCCCTCAGGGGCACCAGAGAACCCACAGTTTGGTGCTGGGAAGAGGAAGGTGTGGGGTGGAATGTCCATAGTGTTTGTAACAAGTAGCTGCTGAAATGTTGAGTTTAAGCGATTCCCTTGAAATTGTTTTAAAATGTGTGCTAAGGTCGCAGAAATATTTCGCACTTAGACTAATATTCACACATAGACTAGTATTCATTTCATGAACACGATCCTACAAGCACACGCACCTGCCAGCTGCAAAATGCAACGAATTATTCATCTTTTATCATCGTTCTAAATTCATATTGAAGAAAATACTAGTTTGAAACAATCTTCTGAACTCAAAATTAAAATTTTGATTTGCAATCGTTGGCCGCAAATCATCTTCTCTAGAAATTCTCTTTGGAATAACTGTTCTACTCGTGATGTAAGAAGAACGCAATCATCTCAGACACCTCCTACCGTCAAGTATACAAGGACATGAATTACTGTGGTCTGTTTTGAGCACAATTGTTTGTTTTTTTACAATTGGAAATAAAAGTTACACAAAGTTAGAAAAATCTTATCAAAATCACAAAGGTACTGCGCAATAGTTGGATGTACTATGAAAATACTGTAGCTAACATTTTTATAAAAAAAATAATGTAAGCAAACGAACGATATTGTCAACTTCACTTCTTTAAAACGCATTTCATAGCCTGCAAAATATTGATTGATGTTTTTACAATAGCTTTAGGCAGTCGTGATGATGATGAAAATAGGTTTTAACATACGAATTTCAGTAGAAAAGTAAAGGTATTGACAAAGTTAACGAACAAGACTTTAAATACTTTTATGAAAGAAATGAAATTTGACATGAAAAGTTCAAAGAGAGAAATAGCTGCATTGTGTTGTTGCTGGACATAACCCAGAGTCCTTTAAAACACTTACTTTATTTCATTTTTAATAATAAACGCTCAGATATTGCTCATTGATGTACGCAACATTTCCAAGAGTAGCATTAAAGACAATCGCACTTATAACTGAAGTAGAACATCTGAAAAGAGGTTTCATCCAGTCACGAACCGGTCTGTTTAGGTGATCTTCATTCACTGCAGTTCAAGACGTGAAGCCATTGAAATAATTACACTTTTCTTGCAGCACTAAAGAAAATTATTGCGTTTATGGCTCACGACGGAGAATATTTTGTCTGTTTTTAGTCAAGGCGCAAGTATGAGTTGATGAACATTCTAATACTCGTATCTCAAGCAATTATGACTAGTTATTAGCAGATAACATACTGCAGTACATGACAGCATGTTGGCTGCGGTTTATGAAGGCGAATAAAAAGCTTGATAGTTTCATTCATCTGAAACGTCATGAAGACCATTACGCTCACGATTCGCGAGAGTACAAAATAAAAGAGAAATGATTTAAACTAAGTGCACCATCTTCTGATACTTGCTGAAGGTGCATTTTAATTTAAAATATGATTTAACAAAAATTATCTTCAGCATTCGGAAAGATGTAATTTCGTGATGCGCATATTTTTTTATCAATACAATAAGCATGATTAAGTAGTGCAGGTGTATTTGACAGAAATACTATATGCAATATATGTTTTTCTTTCTCCCAGCACTTGCATTCAGTCTTCTATTTGATCTACATGTAATAGTACAAAACATTAATTACTAGACTAAAATGAACGTTTTCTTAATGTTCTAGTAACGAGAACAAATGCAAATAATCTAAGGATTGGTCACCAAAAAGCAAATTTTCCAAGTGCTGAGACAATATAACATTTTGAAAGAATACTTACATTGTATTGGAGGAAAAGAAGGTAAAAGGTAATTCCTTCTTGTGGTTGACTTGTAGCTGACCATGGATGCTTTGCCGATAAATATTGTCTTTGGAAGTGTGAACCTATAACGATTAGACAATAAAGTTATTGTTTAGATTCTCTGGCAGATGTATAAATAGGAATAGATTTTAATTACATCTAGAAAATAATGAACCCAGCATAAAGTAATCATTTTTATTAGCTAGTGTTTACGAAACACGAGGCCCAGCGCTAGAGAAACCGAGTAGTTAGCCGGCATGGTCACGTGACGTACAGTTTTTAAAAATTATCAATTTAAAATTCGGAACACCATGATGTAATATTATTTTTAGAAAGTTCCTTTTGATGCATTGCGAGAAAGCCTCCTGTGAAAGTGGCTTTGTTTGAAAGCAAACTATTGGTTTATGATTACTTACAAAAAGTTAGAAGAGTTTTCAAACAAGTATACTAATGTGAACGTGAACGTCTGATTCTAAAAATGCCACAAGCTATGCTGCAAAGCCTCCAAAATCCGGAACTACTTGTTTGAAAGCTTGAAATTTTGTTTTAATTTTAATTCAATGATTCTATAAAAAAAACCAAATTTAAATTCCAAAGTTCACCCTTCTTATTTTAGTGTTCGCTGCACTGATTAGATAAATCTTTGCTTTGGTGTTTACGTAGTACATGCACAGTGAAAACATATTTATTTGCAATACAAGTCATAAATTTATTCATCATAAGTTTAAAAACGATAAGTTAGGAAAATCGCTAATGAACCAATCGTCGATGTTATCACATTTTTGTAAGTTTAAAATTTCATAGTAATGAAATTCTACATTTCTTCTCAACAAATGTTTATTCTTTAGACGCTGAGAGCAAGCTAAGAATCTGTGAAAACCATGGTGCAAGGAAAGAGCCATTGTGGTAAACTAAATTTTGTAGGAGAGACGTATTTTGAAATTCTTTGATTATTTGAATTTAATTCTCAGTTTGAATAAACGGACAACGCAACTTACTTGGCTTTGATAAAAAAATTTTAAAAAATGTTAGAATATGATTAATTGGACAATTCAACTTATCGTCAAATACATTTTATTTTTATTAAATTTACATAATGTAATTAAATTTGCATCCGTCTATTCTTTAGCAACCATATGAAATTGAAATTTTATTGTTATTCACACATGCAGGGAATGATTAGAATTTTTTACAAGCATTTTTTTTAACTAGAAAGTTGATATAAGAACTTATTAACCGGGGTCAGAAATGAATTTCAATAAAATTATTTTCATCATTACTTTATACTTTTTTATTTATAATATATTAACTTAAGAAACTCAGGCATTTATCACGACTGGTGACGTACATGTCAATACCCAGGTTTTCAGTAAAAATGCTTCACACTAACACCAATAACTGCACTTACTTTGCTTGCATGGAGAATAATCAAGTTTACAATTTTTTTATTGAATATGTCTTTCAGTCGATTTACATCAAAGAAATGTCCCACTGTGCGGGTAAGAATAAGTTACAGTATTTAGACTACGTATTTTTTATGCAACATTATATTTTTTAATTTTATTTTTTATTTGTTTGTGAAAAAGTACAGTTTTTGCCAACGTTTTTAATTGTATCAATGCTGTTTGATTATTAGTCACTCATAAACATTCACAGCAAGTTTGGAGCAATCACACAAGTGGTACTATTTTTTGTGACATATTGTAAACAACTTCAATTTTTTTATAATAGAGTTTCAAAATTTTAGGATAGAATAGGTTGAGCGGATACGAGATAATATTAATGAGGCTGTGAAGATCTTCAAAGCGGGGCTTAATGGTCCTTAAGCGAAACTGCACAGCGCCGCCCAGAGCAGGAAGGAGACGAGCGATTTATGTCCAGTGAAGGAGTAGTAGGGCTTCTCTGCCGACAGCAGCTTCGCGTCTGGGGCTTCCCTTTTCCACCCCGGCAACCACCCCACTGCGTGCCACACCCGACCATCCCCGACACGCGTCTTTCCGACACGCTCCTTCCCGACACGCTCCTCCCCGACACGCTCCTCC